ATATACCTTACAAACAAAGGCGCTGTATATTGGAGTACAGCCCCCAAAGATTTCATGAAGGACTTGAAACTCCTGCTCGTGAGCTGTACGCCATTGTCGCACACGAATGTCCTGGGCTCTCCAAACCTGCTCAGTATACGTTCCCGGATCACCACCTGTAGCAGCGCGGCAGTGGCTCTTCTCAGCGGCACCAGTTCCAGTTTGGTGAAAGCATCTTGGAACACCAACAGCATAGTGTTCTCACGCTTGGAACGAGGCAAGGGACCCACGAAGTCTGCACACAAGACCGCCATTGGCTCCGCCACCTGTTTGGTCAGCATCTGCGCGGCCGGGTTTTGTTGCACGCTTTTGAACTTCTGGCACGTCTCACAACACTTTACGTACCTGGCAGCATCTCGGAACAGCTTCTACGGAATGATCGTCCGTCCGCTGACCCAGGGTTCGATATAACTGCCCATTTTCCTCAATATAATCCTAGAACTTCTCGAGCTCCCTCGCGATCCTCTCGCGCATTTCCTCGATCCACCTGCAAGGGGGATTGTCCTCCACGGCCTGCTGACAGGGGATGCCGGGACAGTGCTTCAGCTACTACGTGCAAGTTCCCACGCCGATACCGCCCATGATATTGCTGCGCCCATCGAGCGATCCTGCCCGAGGGACTTCCTATGGGTTTGAGCCATTTCAGCACCTGTAGCCCTCCAGGTAGCATCTTTCAGATCGCCCGCACGACCGCGAGGCATTCCTTTTCCGTGACCAAGTAGTACAGCTACTAGTAAGCGTAGGCGTAGGTTATCCCCCGCTCCAGACCCTCGACTTCTTGTGTCAGCGCCGCACCCAGGCCGTAGTCGCTCCTTGAGCTTCTGCAACGCCTATTCCTGCTCCTCACCCCAGATCCATTTCTGGCCTATCTTGAGAAGCCTCGTCATCGGTTGTACTAGCGACGCGAAGTTTGGTACGAAGCGCCTGTACCAAGATGCGAGATTCGTGCAAGTCCCCTCCCCGCTTATCACGTCCGAGGTACGCCAATTTCTGCCGAAAAAAAATGCATTTCTTCCTGTTGACCTTCAGATTTGTCGCTCTCAATCGCTGGAAAACTTCTTTCAGATTGGCCACGTATTGCTCCTTCGTTGCTCCGATCACCACTATATCGTCTAAATACGCAAACGCATGAGGCTCCATATCAGGACCGATGACCGTGTCCAGTGCCCTCTGAAACATCGCCCCCGCCTAATGTAACCCGAATGGCATCACGCGCCTTTGGAACAGTCCTCTCCCCGGTAAAGTGAACGCCGTGCATTCTCGACTATCCGCCGCCATCGGCTTCTGCCAGTACCCGCTCTTTATATCCAGCGTGGATATAACCCGTGCGTGTCGTAGCCTCTCTAGGAGGATCCTAGAACAGGATACGCATCCGGGATCGAGTGGGCGTTGAGCTGTCGATAATCTACGCACATGCGCTACTCCCCAGTCTTTTTCTTGACTAAGACTATGGGTGCGCTGTGTGGGCTCTTCGACGGCGCAATGGCCCCAGGTTGAAGCAACTCGTCCACCTGTTCATGGTTCACTTTCTGCATAGCCGGATTCTTAGGTTAGTACCTCTGCTTCAGAGGCTTGTCGCCCTTCATGCGGACGCTATGCTCGGCTATGTGCGTCACTCCCCTGAGGTCTTCAAAGAGTGCCAACTCCGCTTCTAAAAAGTCCTTCAACTCGTCTTCCGACTCGGCCGGCCATTCCTTGTTATCGGGCGTGGATTCTGTGCCTCCTCTCTGCACTGTCTCTACCATTTCTCTCCTCGGCGTGCCACCTCCGGTCTCACCCTCCTTCTCCGACTCGATCATTTTATTCCCTGGTGGCCGCTCCTCGGGTCCACCTCTCCCCATTTCCTGACTTGCTCGGCGACGCTCCAAGGCGGGTGCCTCTTCGGCGGTAGCGAGGGTGGGGGAGTCCGACGATCGGCCTTCGATGCTTCGCCGCCGCCGCGAAACGCCGCAGAACTCCCGCGGTCTTTCATCCCTGTGGCTCCCAGCAGCGCTGCTCACCGTTGGCGCGCCAAGCTTCAGTGACGCTGGATGGTAGCATGCTCCTGGGCTTTCCGTAAGCCCGGTTCCGACTTTTGGTAAGCGCGGCTACCCATATTCGCGCTGCAACTCCCAAAGAGAACCCGGACTCCTTCGAGAAGCGTGCCTCCCACTCGGCCAGTCGCCCCTTGGTGTCCGTATGTTTGAACGCGTCGATTTCAGAAGATACTAAAGCTAGATACCTCAATTTTTATAAAATGTCCGTGTATACTACTCGGATATCGAGTTTTGCTTTAAAAATCGATTAATACTCCCGATATTTTTTATCGATAAAAACCTTATCGATGTGTATATGTCTGTGTATGTCTGTATGTATATATAAGTTAAGCGCTCCCACAATAGAGTACTAGTGATGTTGTTGACGCTGTGTTGGGTTCTTGTGAATATATAACAACTTTGTGTTCAATGATATAATATATTTTACATAATTTGGAACAATAGGTCTAAACTCTCTCTAGTCCGAATATAAACTGAACTAAATCTGTTCTACTGGTTAGGTTCTCCCCTTGAATGTCTGACTGGACTCTCCAGCCTCCTTAGATTGTCGAAAGTCTTAACTCTTCCCCATGTAAATATCTGCGTCCCGCAGCTCAGGGTGCATATGTCCATTATAATGATATTCTTCCAATATAAATTATCCAATATAATGATATTTATCCTGTAAAGTAGTAATTTTATAGCTGGGATAGACTCAGTCTGCCCAGGGTATACTCACAAGAAATTTTTATTAGAATTGTGAGACACCAGGGCGGGGATGTTTAGTAATATGACTGGGAATAGGGAAAGAGGGGGGAGAAATTCAACATGGGGACCGCCACTCACGTGCACCTCTTGCTTTGCAATCCAACCTTACACTCGCCGTCGCCTCGCCGCCGTCCGATCCTTTGTTAGCTTCACGCATCCGCCTCAGTCGCTTCTCTCAATGAAATTATTCCCTTTTGTTTTCTGCTGCCAAGTTGTTTTATTTTTTTACTTTTTCGATTTACTTAATCTAACCGCACTTAAAGAAAATCACTCGCACAATTTAGCTTTTACTCTTCATCGCCATCTGATGGCTTCCGCTGCTTGAGCCCGACTAACTCTCGCTTTTCTTTCTCCCTCGCCCAAAGCGCTCGATGTCGGCGACGCAACTCTCCGCTCTAAACTCTCCACGCAGGGTTGCGCCGCCGATCGCCGATAAATCATCAGCGCTTTGGGCGGCCTTTTCAAATACAAATTTAAATGCAAACTAATACTACTTAATTTACTAACTTAACCTCTAATTACTACGTCTAGATCTTAACAAACTAAACTTAAAAGAAAATCTATGACTCTAATTCAACATAAGAAACTTATTCTATACCAAAAATTCCAATTTAATACTTCATTTTTTCCTCGCTCATTAATTCGACTAAACCAAAAACCACAACTTCAATTTAATACTTAATTTCCTTTTTTTTCCTGTTGTTCATTAATCCAACTTAAAATTATAACTTCAATTTAATGTTTCATTTTTCCTCGCTCATTAATTCAACTAAACCAAAAACTGTTTCATATAACTTCTTGACAATCATCGTGAGGCGGTGATCGGCGAGCCGCCTCACACCCCCCCTTACTTAATAAGGAGACGACCACGGCTCCTGTGGCCGCCACCGTGACATTATAAACGCCGTTCTCCGACGACACTTTGAAGCGCGTGCGGCGATGTCGTCGACTGCAGGGGTCAGCTTCTTTCTTTATTAGTTCCACAACCTTCTCCGCCAAATCCGTGCCATCCGGACGCACTGTCCAATTCCGCGGGACGGATAGGGGCACCTCCCGTTCCGCGCCATCCTCCATGCTCGACCAGGACGACTCGTCCGACAGCCACCCTTCGAGAACGTCGCCGAGCTCCCTCTGGTGGTTTGATCCAGCCATGCGGGAATCGGCCAACTTTCGCCACTATGGTTGCGACTCAGCGAAACTCGCCTGTCTCCTCCTTTGCGTGGTCCCGCCATTGCTTGACGTTCCGGCGACATCCGGGCGTGCATAGGATCTAGCAGATCGGTCCCGGTGGTCTGCCCAAAGCCGTCCACTCGCCCGCTGGGAGCGATAGACTGGCTCTGCCAGTCGACGCCTGTTATCTACGGCCCCAGGGATGTAACGAAATGCGACTCGCACGGGATCGCGGCGGCGATTCCCAACTGCATCACTTTCCAACCGACGTCGTGGAGTCGACTTCGGCCCCACGTCCTCGCATCGGTTACCCCTCCTCGTCTACAGCTCCTCTGGCTCCCCGGCCTCCGCTCGCGACGCGACTCTCGAGGCAGGATTAGGGACGGAGGGACAGTGCTCCCTGCCGCTTTCTACCTCGCGTGGCGGGAGCTGGTCGGGGACCTCCTTCGCAGCCTCTTCGTCTTCCCCCTCGCTTGCGGTCCACGGTGTCGGGCTGGCCCATCTTTCCGACTCCTCATCCGTCAAGACATTGTTGCTTTTCGGCGGCGATGGGGTCGGTGAGCCGGGAAAGGAAGTTGGCTCCTCCACATGCGGTGGAGTCCGCTGCACTCCGGGCGCTTGCACGTACATTGTCGTGAAGTTCCCCCTTAACACCATAATCATATCCTCCAAGTCCACCGAGACGTCTATCGTGGAGTGGTGGATGGAGTGGATACGATCGGTGTGCGGCAGATCCTCCCACAGCGACCCTAGGGGGAGTGTCTCTTCCCCGCGGCTGCCGTCCTCCAGGCGCACCGGCGTAGCCCGAGACTCCTCCCACTCCTCGTCGCTGCTAATCATCATCAGCTCGTCTTCCATTTCGTTTATCTGTGTGAATCAAAACATTAATACTCGCTCTCTCTCGAATCTCTTCTTGACCAAAACGGTTAGTGCGTTAGTATGAGATTAGTGAGGTTTCTCAAAAGGTGGTAAGAAATGGATAGCGGGGCTCAAGCAATCGAGTTTCTTCTATCCTTCGAGCGGCGCGTCCATGTTTGATTTGAGCCGATCGAATCCTTCCTCCTCCTCTGTTTCCCTCCTCAACGCCGTTCCGCTGGTCTCTTCCTCCTCAGTGTAGAAAGGCTTAAGCTGGGAAAGGTTGGCCACCCTCCTTCTCCGTTCGCCCACTCGAGCGAGCCGCACCACGTTGGGAGAAATGAAGTGGACGACCCTGTAGGCGCCGTCGAACTTGGGCGCCAGTTTCGCCGCGAAGCCCTCCGCTGCGCTGGACAGCTGGTGCTGTCGCAGCAGAGCCATCGACCCTAGCGCGGGCCTCCACTCTCGCCGACGCAGATTGTAATACCTGCCTTGGTTCTTCGACGCCTTTTGTAGATTGTTGCGGACCACTTCGAAGATTTCTTTCATCGTTTCTTTCCTTGTTGTTAAGTCGACTTCCCGACCCGGGGGTGACCTCGTCGTAGAAAGCAGACGGGAGGCGAGGCTCTCTACCCATCATCAAGAATGCAGGGGTGAATCCGGTAGGATCTGCAACACTAGAGTTGATCGCTAGCGATATCTCCGGCAACAGCACATCCCACGAACTCTGGTGTCCCTCGATGAACTGAGCTATCATCGTTTTTTCGGTGCGATTAGTCCTCTCGGTAGGATTTTCCTGCGGGGAGTACCCCTAAGGATTCCATGAACGACCGAAAGCCCTTGCTCGCAAATTGTGCGCCATTGTCACAGATGAACATCTTAGGCACTCCGAATCGACCCAAAATGCGCTCTCTAAACGCCGCCTGCAGCAGCGCTGTGGTGGCCCTCCTCAGTGGCACCAGTTCCACCCACTTAGCGAACGCATCGTGGAACACAAGCAACATTGTGTTCCCACGATTCGACCGAGACAAGGGACCCACGAAATCCGCGCACAGAATCGCCATGGGCTCTGCTACTTGCCTCGTCAGCATCTGACCCGCTGGCTTGTGTTGCTCACTCTTAAACTTCTGGCATTCCTCGCATCGCCTCACATACCTGGCCACTTCCCGGAACATCCCTGGCCAGTAATATCGCTGTGCCAGTCTCATGACCGTTTTCCTCACGCCTTGGTGCCCCGCCGTGGGAGCATCATGGTACTCCTGCAGTACTCTTTTCCGCTGGTGAGTTGGGACGCACAATTTCCAGGGAATATAGTCCTCATCGTCCGTCCGGTGGCCAAGGTTACGGTACAGCTGGCCGTTCTCCTCAACGTAGTCCTTGAATTTCTCTGGATCTTCTTTGATCCTCTCGCGCATTCTTGTTATCTATTTGCAAGGGGAATTGGCCTCCATCATTCGCTGGCAGCTTTCCACAGGTTGTCGATAGAGCGCGTCCGCCACAACATTCAATTTCCCTCGTCGATAGCGGATGTCGAATTGAAATTGCTGTAGCTCCAGTGCCCACCTCGCGATCCTCCCCGTGGGGCTCTCTATCGAGTTAAACCACTTCAACGCCAAGTGATCTGTAACCACCTCAAATCGAGGCATTCCTTTTCTGTGGCTGAATAATTGAGCTCCGCTTTCAACATCTTCCGACTAGCGTATGCAATCACCTTTTCCTCGCCTTCGACCTCTTGCGTGAGCACCGCGCCCAAGCCGTAATCGCTGGCATCCGTCTGTAGTACGAACCTCGCCGAAAAGTCGGGACACGCCAACACTGGCGCGGTCGTGAGACTTTCCTTGAGTTTCTTCAATGCTTCCTCCTGCTCGTCGCTCCATTCCCATTTCTGGCCCTTCATAAGAAGTCTCGTCATTGGTTCCACCATCGACGCAAAGTTCGGCACAAATCGCCTGTACCACGGAGCCATTCCCAAACACTGTCGTAACTCATTGAGGGTCGAGGGTACCGGAAAACGGAGGATCGCCTCGACCTTTGCGGGATCCGTGCATATCCCTTCTTCACTGATGACATGTCCGAGATAGACCAACCTTTTCCTGAAGAAACTGCATTTCTTCCAGTTTATTCGAAGGTTGGCTTTCCTCAACCGGCGGAAGACCTTCCTCAAGTTCTCCACATGCTGCGCCTTCGTGGCGCCGATCGCCACGATGTCATCTAAATATGCAAAAGCGTGCGGCTCCATGTCCGGTCCTTTTACTGTGTCCAGCGCTCTCTGGAACGTAGCGCCTGCTGAATGTAAGCCGAATGGCATCACTCGCCATTGAAATAATCCTCTCCCTGGCACCGTGAACGCCGTGCATTCCCTGCTGTCCGCCGCCATGGGAATCTGCCAGTATCCGCTCTTCAAGTCTAGGGTAGATATCGTGCGTGTCTCAGCCTCTCGAGGATGTGATTGATCCGCGGAACGGGGTAGGCGTTTGGGATTGAGTGGGCATTCAGCTGTCGGTAGTCCACACACATGCGCCAATCTCCAGTCTTCTTCTTTACTAAGACGATGGGCGCACTATGCGGACTTCGCGAAGGCTCGATAGCTCCAGCTCGAATCAACTCGTCTAACTGTTCGTCGATCACTTTGCTCATAGCCGGATTCTTGGGATAATATATTTGCTTCAGAGGCTTATTATCCCGCATCCTTATGCTATGCTCGGCGATATTTGACACTCCGTCCAGTCCCTCGAAAAGCGCCAACTCCGCTTCCAGGAACTCCTTCAGCTCGTCTTCCAGGTCCTCCGGCCACCCTGTATCGTCGGGGGAAGACTCTGTATCCTCCTCATCCTCTTCTTGGCCTATTGAACTCCGCGGTGACTGGCTGCTCAGAATTTCGCCGACGTCCTCCGCCTCCAATCCCACCAACTTAACTTCCGGGGGCCGCTCCTCCGGCCCTTCCTCCAGATCCTTCGTCCTCGCTAGCTGAGGACACTTCCTGAGTTCTTCCTTCGGCGTCTTGCGACCTCTCTTGATCGACTGGGCAGGTGGCCCGCCACTCTTTGACGTGCCCTGCCCATCGACCGGCAATCCTCCGCCCGCCGACGCCGCGCCCCCCTTCTGCGTCGGGGAACCACACGGTGCCTCGGGGCCTCTCTTCTGTTCCTGTCCGCGAACCCTTGATCGAGCAAGCGGTTGTGGCCTCCCAGACTGGTCGCTCTCTTTCGATGCATTTGGCCCGCTTCCCAGGGGCGTCTCCTCGTTCGACTCCTCCTTCATCCTCATGGTGAGCGCTGCGTTGCCACAATATACCGTGGTGTCTATAGCGCACAAGAAGTCCATTCCCAGGATAAAGTGGTCCAGCATCGCCGGCATGACGAGCAATGTTATTTTTACAACCTTTCCCGCGAGACTCACTTCCACATTCATCCTCCTTGTTATCTCCAGCGTAGATCCATCAGCCAATCTAATCCGTGACTGCATCTCCTGGATCTCGCCTCGGATCGCCTGCCGGCGCACACAGTCTTCGCTTATGCAACTGCGTGTGGCCCCGGTGTCGATTGTGGCCGTCATCGCTCGACCCCCAATCACCACCGCCGCGACGATCCTCCCCTCCTCCACTGAAAGGGGATTCTTCGCCTCATCTTTGCTGTCTAGGCGGCGCCGCCCGCATGACGGCGACTGTCCGCTTTGGCATTCGCGCGCGAAATGGCCTACTTGCCCGCACCGATAACACGCTCGTCGTGTTCCTCCCCCCTCACCCTCACGCTCCTGAGCCATCATACGGTGGACCGTCTCTTGAAATGTTGCCGCGGGCGCCATCGCTACTCCTGCCGTTTGACCTCTAACTTGGGATCCCGGCGTCTGTGTGCGGAAAGGGTTGTTAGGTCGATTTTCGGCCGGCTTCGACCATGCAGCCTTCGTTCTGCCTGATGCAGCCTCTCTGTCCTGTTCCCTCCTCTGCCCTTGGACATTTTCGTATTCGGCTGCCATCTGCGTGAGCTGCGTCAGTGTGACAAAGTCATAACGCCTCACGTACTGCCGGGGCAGCGTTCTCATAGGCTCGATACAGCTCCTGCGCCACGCTATAACGGGCCTACCGCATCAACAACCTGAGTTCGATCAGGTAGTCTTTGAAACTTTCTCCTTCTCTTTGATGACGCGACCTTATTTGATCCTCCAGCCGCTCGAAATACTGCGGGGGGAGGAAGATATCCAAGAATTCCCTCCTGAAATCGGCCCACGATGAATCCCTCAACCCGCTGGTCAAGAACCATTTCGCCGCCTTATCCGCGAATACCTCGCTCATCGCCCGTGGCATCCGATCCAGCTCGATGCCGTAAGTGATCGATCTTTCTTCCACGATCTCCACGAAGCCCAACGGATCCGTTCGACCATCATACCGCATGCCCCATTTACGAACTTGCTCGGCGACCCCCCAGGGCGGGGACCTCTCCGACGGGATCATGGACGCGGGGACTTGTCGACCAGTCTTCGAAGTCGTCGACAGCGCCTCATCCTCTCCAGCGTTGCCGAACTCCTTCCGCTCTTCACGACGCCTCACCGCCGCGCCGTTCACCACGGGCACCCTCGGTTTCAGGGACTCTGTCTGAACAGGGCCTTGGTCTTGAACCTTTCGTAAATCCGGTTCCGCTTTCTGGTAAGCTCGGCTGCCCATGCTTGGCGCAGCGCCTCCCAGAGTGAACTCGGATCCCTTCGCGAAACGCTTCTCGATCTCGGCCAATCTCGCTTTGGCCTCCGCCGAATAGTTGTTGCTTTGTATGAATGTAGAGAGTCTTTTTCTCAGATCCTCTACTCGGCCCTCACCATCCAGGCCGAACTCTCGAGCTATTGTGATTAGCTCCCCCTTGCACCCCTGGTAAATCCACCCGACGCTCAATCCCGGTTTATGATATTCGGCGTCTTCCATTTCAAATGTTTATTTATTCCCCTCAGTTTATTCCGTAACCGCTATTCTATTTATTTGTTTCTTTTCTATTCTCCCCCCTTCCCCCCTCCCCCTTATTTGTTTTTATTTTTATCCTCCTTTTTTTTATTTATATTTATATGTATATTTCTTTTTTATTTTTATTTTTATCTTCCTTTTTTTCTCCCTTTTTTTCCTTTTTATTCTTATTTATATATATACTTCTCCTTTTTTCCGGTTATTAGACTCTTTTCACTTTTTTTTTTTTTTTTTTATACAATTTCGCTAACATGTGCCAACTTATTCTATTTAATTTCATTTCCTCTTAATCTACCCTTTGTTCACTTTATTATAGCTTTATTTTATTTTCTTTATTTCCTCTTAATCTATTTCGTTGTTATATTTTATTTTTATTTTTATTTATTTACATTCGTTTTGCTTATATTTTTATTTTTATATATATCTTTTTTTTCTCCCTTAACCTATTTCGTTTCTCTTTATTCGCTTTCAATTAAATTTTTTTTTTTTTTTTCGCTCAAACCCGTTCCATTCCCTTTTCGCTCCTCTTTATACGCTTTTAATTTATCTTCCGTTAGTTTAACTTGTTTTATTTCTTCTTCATCACCTTACTTTTACTTTC